AGCGGTCTAAGGCACTGCATCTCCGCGGTCTAAGGCACTGCAATCTCACGGTCTAAGGCACTGCATCTCAGCGGTCTAAGCCTGCACCTCAGCGTCTAAGGCACTGCACCTCAGCGGTCTAAGGCACTGCATCTCAGCGGTCTAAGGCACTGCATCTCAGCGGTCTAAGGCACTGCATCTCAGCGGTCTAAGGCACTGCATCTCAGCGGTCTAAGGCACTGCATCGCAGCGGTCTAAGGCACTGCATCTCAGCGGTCTAAGGCACTGCATCTCAGCGGTCTAAGGCACTGCATCTCAGCGGTCTAAAGGCACTGCATCTCAGCGGTCTAAGCACTGCATCTCAGCGTCTAAGGCACTGCATCTCAGCGGTCTAAGGCCACTGCATCTTCAGCGGTCTAAGGCACTGCATCTCAAGCGGTCTAAGGCACTGCATCTCAAGCGTCTAAGGCACTGCATCTCACGGTCTAAGGCAACTGCATCTCCGCGGTCTAAGGCACTGCATCTCACGGTCTAAGGCCTGCATCTCAGCGTCTACAGCACCACGGTCTAAGGCACTGCATCTCAGCGGTCTAAGGCACTGCATCTCAGTCGGGGGTCTAAGGCACTGCACCTCAGCGGTCTAAGGCAACTGCAGCTCAGGCGGTCCTAAGGCACTGCACCCAGCGGTCTAAGCACTGCATCTCAGAGGTCTAAGGCACTGCATCATCAGCGGTCTAAGGCAACTGCATCTCAGCGGTCCTAAGGCACTGCATCTCAGCGGTCTAGGGCACTGCAATCTCAGCGGTCTAAGGCACTGCATCTCAGCGGTCTAAGGCACTGCTCTCAGCGGTCTAAGGCACTGCATCTCCGCGGTCTAAGGCACTGCATCTCAGCGGTCTAAGCACTGCACCTCACGTGTCTAAGGCACTGCACCTCAGCGGTCTAAGGCACTGCATCTCAGCGGTCCTAAGGCACTGCATCTCAGCGGTCTAAGGCACTGCACCTCAGCGGTCTAAGGCACTGCATCTCAGTCGTGTCTAAGGGCACTGCACCTCAGCGGTCTAAGGCACTGCAATCTCAGAGGTCTAAGGCACTGCATCTCAGCGTCTAAGGCAACTGCAATCGTCAGGGTCTAAAGGCACTGCATCTCAGCGGTCTAAGGGCACTGCATCTCAGCGGTCTAAGGCACTGCAGCTCAGCGGTCGAAGGCACTGCATCTCAGAGGGTCCTAGGCAACGGCAAGCTCAGCGGCTAATAAGGCAACTGCCAAGCTCAGCGGTCCTAAGGCACTGCACCTAAGCGGTCTAAGGCACTGCAGTGCACTGGCAAGCTCAGCGGTTCTAAGGCACTGCATCTCAAGCGGTCTAAGGCACTGCATCTCAGCGGTCTAAGGCACTGCATCTCAGTGCTTGAGGCGTCACTACAGACCCACCTGGTTCGATTCCAGGGCTGGTATCACAACCGGCCGTGATTGGGAGTCCCATAGGGCGGCGCACCAATTGGCCCAGCGTCGTCCGGGTTTGGCCGGTGTAGGCCGTCATTGTAAATAAGAATTTGTTTTCTTAACTGACTTGGCTAGTAAATAAAGGTAAAATAAAAATAACTGATGCTTGAGGGTTATTCTACATTGAAAACACGCATCGATTGGATTCCACACCTGATTTGTTGAAACACAAACAGGCCAAAACTATGACGGACCCACATGCAACACCACTGAATTAGAGCACCCAGCTATGCCAACATTTCCTTAGCAAAACATGTTCATATTTGGCCATATTATATTAGTGGCATGGTGGTAAAAAGGCCTTAAGTGTTGAAATGATTGTTTGATTTACAAGATGAAGTCACTACAGTCTTCCCTTAACCCTGTAACGCATCACACTGCAGATCTTTTAATACCTTGGTATATCTGTGTCACGGTCGTTTAAGGACGGGTCAGACCAAGGCGCAGCGTGAAATGCATTCATGTTTATTAACTGATAAACACACGAACAAAACAACATAACGTGAAGTCCTCAGGCTAAACACAAAACAAGCCTCTACACGGAACAAGATCCCACAACTAATGCATGCCAACAGGCTGCCTAAGTATGATCCCCAATCAGAGACAAGGAGCGACAGCTGCCTCTGATTGGGAATCACACCCGGCCAAACATAGAAATACACCACCTAGAATGAGAACATAGAAATACTAATATAGAATATCCACACCCTGACTCAACATACAAGAGTCCCACGAGTCAGGGTATGAGAATCTGTAACAACCATCTCTTTACCGTGACCCACAGACCGAAGTAGAGTCGCCTGTTTGTCTTAGGCTGATTCCCAAATGGCACCCTATTTCCTTATATAGCTGGGGGGAAAGTAGTGCACTTTATAGGGAATAAGGTGCCATTTGAGATGCATTCCCTTAGCCCTGATGCTAGCCCTCCATCCTCCCATTAATGAGCATGGGCTCCTAATTGCAATAACAAAAATACATTAGCTCATTAGCATGCCGTGACACACACTCAGGAATAATGTATCAGAGGTACGCAGGCCTCCTCTAATTACAGCCAACGCTAGCTGCTTTTCTACGTGACAAAATAAACGTGACTTTCACTAATGACACTCTGGTGTTGGGAATGAGTTGGTCACCATGGAAACCAGTATAGCCGAATTGAAGACAATCTGACCTAAAGACAACCAATAATAATAGGTCTATGTAAATTAGGTTTTAAATTTGGTTGATGTTACGGTTAATTATGTATATATGGAGTCGGGTCACGTGGAATGTGTTATATGGTAATTGTGTAATAAGACCTGACTACTTTGTCCTATAACTCCAACTCACTAAGTTGAATGGAGGATAGCCGGTATAGCTGAATGGAGGATAGCCAGTATAGCTGAATGGAGGATAGCCAGTATAGCTGAATGGGAGGGGTAGCCAGTATAGCTGAATGGAGGATAGCCAGTATAGCTGAATGGAGGATAGCCAGTATAGCTGAATGGAGGATAGCCGGTATAGCTGAATGGAGGATAGCCATATAGCTGAATGGGAGGATAGCCAGTATAGCTGAATGGAGGATAGCCAGTATAGCTGAATGGAGGGTAGCCGGTATAGCTGAATGGAGGATAGAGCCAGTATAGCTGATGGAGGATAGCCGGTATAGCTGAATGGAGGATAGCCGGTATAGCTGAATGAGAGCGTATAGCTGAATGGAGGATAGCCAGTATAGCGGAAGGAGTATAGCCAGTATAGCTGAATGGAGGATAGCCGGTATAGCTGAATGGAGGATAGCCGGTATAGCTGAATGGAGGATAGCCATATAGCGAATGATAAGCTGAATGGAGGATAGCCGGTATAGCTGAATGGAGGATAGCCGTATAGCTGAATGGAGGATAGCCAGTATAGCTGAATGGAGGATAGCCAGTATAGCTGAATGGAGGATAGCCGGTATAGCAGAATGGAGGATAGCCAGTATAGCTGAATGGAGGATAGCCAGTATAGCTGAATGGAGGATAGCCAGTATAGCTGAATGGAGGGTAGCCAGTATAGCTGAATGGAGGGTAGCCGGTATAGCTAATGAGGGTAGTTAGCTGAATGGAGGGTAGCCAGTATAGCTGAATGGAGGATAGCCAGTATAGCTGAATGGAGGGTAGCCAGTATAGCGAATGGAGGATAGCCTATACTAAGGGAGTGATGATGCCAGTTAGCTGAATGGGGTAGCCGTATAGTGAATGGAGGTAGCCAGTATAGCTGAATGGAGGTAGCCAGTATAGCTGATGAGGATAGCCGTATGCTGAATGGAGGTAGCCAGTATAGCTAAGAGGTAGCCTA